GTCAAAAGTGGAAAGACACTGCTGGTTTTTATTTTGATTTCACGATACTCATTTTTGAACATGGAAATACAGTGGTGAAACCACCTATGCAAAAATGATAACAGTGAGAAAATTATGACAGTGAAAGAGATCTGACCTAACTATCTATCTTGCCTCCAAACTCCCCTTGGTCATTCCTGAGTGTGGGCCAAGCTAACTTTGGGAGAAATTTACTTTATAGGTTAAATTATAGTAACCCTTCCCAAAACTAAATGATTCTCCTGCCTCAGCCTCCCGAGTAGCTGGGATTACAGGCACTCACTACCACGCCCAGCTAATTTTTGTATTGTTAGTAGAGATGGGGTTTTGCCATATTGGCCAGGTTGGTCTCGAACTCCTGGCCTCAGGTAATCCAACTGCCTTGGCCTCCCAAAGTGCTGGAATCACAGGCATGAGCCACCACACCCAGCCCGCTTCTGCACTTCTGATGACCAGATGGCCCCACCTGGACAAGCAACTCCTCTGTGGCTCCCAACCAAAAGTGGACTTAGCGCAGGAGGACCATTTTCCGCACTCCTATGATTGCGTCCCTGACTAGTCAGCATTTCCCATTCCCCCAAGCCCCCTGCCCACCAAACTATACTTGAAAAACCCTAGCCTCTGAGTTTTCAGGGAGGCTGATTTGAGCCAGCTTTAAGTACATTGAACTCTTTCTCTATTGCAACCCCCCTGCCATGATAAATTAGCTCTATGTAGGCAGAGGGCAAGATAAACACACTGGGCAGTTACAGTGGAACATACTACAGATGAGACCTGTTCATGACATCTCCAGGCTCACTCTGGAAATCTTTGGATTTCCTGAGAATAAATAAGCCATTTCAGAGACCCCCAAAAGTCTGAATTCTTCAAATATAAATGTGTCTTTATAATACCATCAGCCTCATCATTTATGTGTCACATATGGATTGTTTCCTATATCCACTATCATAAAATTATCATTTGAAATGTTTTTTTTTTTTTGAAAGAAAAAAAGCACTTCTCAGTGAGAAAGCAAGATTACAAGGGGGAATAATATTTATTCAGCTAAAAGAGTACTCCAGAGGAAATACGGGAAAACAAACACCAGTCCAGTTTTATTCTAAATAAAGGTACTTCTGATTGTACTCCTGAATTTATTGGATAGCAAGGTCTGAGGTGGTTCTGAAATTCATACACGAAGTCAGGAAAAGAAAAGAAACTTAGTTCTACCATGATTACATATGTTGTTACAAATTATCTTTATGAAATGTTTAAACAATTGCTGTAGTATATCTTTCAAATAATTGCTTATAATATGCCTTACCATAAAGAAAATTGATGCTACATTGTGGAATTATTTGGTTTTATTTCTTTTTATATTAAAATTATGCATAAATAAATTAAGTAGTGTTTTGGGTTTTGTGGTGTTTTTTGTTTTCTGGTTTTTTTTTT